TATCAACTTCAAATCGTTTTGAAGTATCTGATGCAATACCATTTCGGAGAAAGCAATAAACTAAATTATATGAACATGAATGTAATATTCCCTAAGGCAATCTATTTGAATGTATTTCCAATTCACTAATGTACATTTGTATAAAAGCTAACTGCAAGATAATTGGAAAATGTGCGTTTCCTATAGCTGTAATCGATATACACAGTTGAGGTAAATAAAACTTTATTGGGATTAAAACACTTGTGTTTATCAAGGCTTTTCTTCACTTCGGGGTTTCTTTTGAAAATCCCAATACCACCGACAGAAAGTTACTTTTCTTTGTTGAACTAATTTTAATACCAATTTCGTCACACTCTTTTATAGAACAGCTCTGAGGTGGGACACAAAAACCCGTTTCGACTTAATTTTCAGGTACCAATAGTTGATTTCGAACGGATCTGAATCACACCCGAGAAGTCGAAGTACTAAACGCACAGAATGCCATTGATCATTTATCGGCCAGCAATAGGAATATGATTTTTCCATTAGCAACGGTCTGCAAATTATTCGCCTTTTGTCAAAAATCACACAACCTCTAGATATAGAAGAACTGTAAGCATGTGCGAGTACAATGTATACCCACTAAAGTACACATGTGTCAATTGTACTTAGCGTGCGTTTTTATTTTTCCTTGCTTATGAGTTGCTTTGGTCTGGCACTGAACGATTATGCAAAAATAAATCAATTGAAAAGCAACAACGAAGAAAACGCAAGAAAACGCCACAAAGGAAAACTCAGTGGGGGAGCGAGGGAAAACAGAGAGCGGAAGGGGGAGGGGGAGGGGGAAAAGGGAATCTGTAACAAGTGCCTTCAAAAAAAACAGGGTGTCTCTGTATGAAGGAAAACCAATCCATCACCTTGGTAGTATTTATTTATTTTCTATGACATTGGAATTCTTTTTACAAATCTGAAAAATAAAATTCGAAAACTCAAAGATTTTTTTTCGTTTCTTGGAACAATTACATCTTTTCATCTTGTCAGAAATCACGACTTTAACACACTGTTTATGAAATCGGAGTTTGTTATATTTATTTTTGTCTGAATTGAACACTTTTATTGTAATTTCGTAATACTCGATTCCAGAAATCTCTATAAAAACAAATTTGTACGGACTTTTGGATGAAAGAAATATCAGTAACAATTCGACAATCTTTTATAATATAATATTTTTTTAACTGCGTAATAATAGTATCATTGAATTGCCCAAATCTCACAAGCTCGGGTTTCCCAACAAAATGTTGTATATTATTACATTCCGACCTTTAAAAAAATTGTTGCTTTCGAAATCCAATACATTATCAACAATTTTGAAAAATAACAACCATTTTAGGTTCACTGGAAATATGAAACACTTTTATCTAACATTTTGGATTCAACATTTATTGACATTACTCATAACTCCACAGTTTTCATTTAAGCATTTGATCTGCAAATAAATTGTTTAACACTAAAAGTCACTTATGCACATTTGAATAGTTTTATTGTTGCATTATGAAAGAACAACAAATAGTTTACCACACACAAAGAGAGAGAGAGAGAAAGAGAGCAACCCTGTAAGCCCCACACACACACACCTTTACCTGGTGCTTATGTAGAGCGAGACGAGACGAGACGAGTCTGGGCCGCAGGAGGGCGAAAAGGGACAGAGGAGGTTGGGGAGACAAAGAGGCGGACGGACGGATGGACGGCAGCATAAGAAGACGAGACGGAACAGATGTCCACGCACACACACAGGCACACAGGTGAGGAGCAAAACAGCAGCGCACCCACACACTCGCACTGGGGGCGAATGGGACATTTCAGAGCAGACTTATCACTCTTTTCAAACACATATTCTTCAAGGACCCTCTGCACTCTTATCACTTCTTTGTTTGGGTTACTGACCCGTAATTGCACATTATTTATGTTTGATCACACCCACACACACGCACGCTCGCCCGCCGGAGCGATGCTTTTCGCGAAAGTATAGCAAAATCAATTCAACACTTTTTCGTTTGGCTGCCACAGGAAAACAAAAAAGGTGGCTCAATTAATCCGACGCGAGTCCGTTTAGTTCAATCTTAACCGTCCGTCAAAACTTTACCATCCGTCGAATTTCGATTTCAAAAGTCGAATGCGATATTTTTGTTTCGGTGGGCCTCGGTGGCGGATGATTTAACGTAACGTCGGCAAAACGTAAGTGTCAGTAAAAAAGCGAGATGCAAGATGGGCTCTCTCTGACGAATGGTGAGAATGGTGGTGGGAAAAGGACAGAGCGAATGTGCGCCTCTCCCGCTCTCAATCTAGGGATGGAAGGAATATCGATATATCGGCCTTTCACGCAGCCTCCGATATAAATATTTAACAATTTACAACAGATACAAATTTTAAAATATAATTAAATTAATATATACAAATTGGTAAAGCAACATCTAAAAAGAAGTATGTATGACGGTAGCCTAACTACATTTATTTTCAACTGGCATCACTATCTTAGCCTTAGCTTATACTCAAACCAATTTTGTAGCGGTATTACTTTAGTGAGCGTACAAGCCCTGTGGATATGGTAGACTAAAAGATAGTTTCCACTGGCACATATTTTCAAATTCAACCAGGGCCTTGATATGAAGTATTCGTTTATTAATTTCCTTTTGAATACATAAAGAATTTATCTTAAATAATTTTACAACGAAATCGAACAGTTAAAGGCCTCGACAAAAGAGGTGAGTTAAAGTAATTGGCTGTGGGGAGTTATATAAGGATTTGAATGGAACAAGCTGTCGAGTTTATTCTGGGCGAAGTGCAGGAAAACGCTCTTCTTCAGGGGCTTATCGGTGAAACAGGACTGTGTTTTGTCAAATCTTGATCCCTTAGAGAAGTAAGCGTCTTGTAACAGGGTCAGGAAGCCAAGGTCATCAAAAGTTCCTAACAACTCGTTGTATTTCTGGCAGCCGGTATGGGGAAACTTTGGGTATGGAAATAGAGCCGAAAGCATCTGTTCGGCTATAAGATAGCCAACCAGGCTGACCTACAAAAAATATTTATTTTATTTAATTTTTTTCCATACAAATCTACCTTGAAATCGTCGTGACCTCTGACTGTGAAGAATGGCTCCTCCAGAATAGATAAGGATACCACGTTGGTTGTTTCATTTCCCACCAAAACGACTTCTTCCTTAAATCCATGATACGGTTCAGTGAACTCCAAGTTGGACAATTTCTGCAGCCTAAGCTGGGTATGCAGCCTCAGGGCCTTCAGATGAATAGTGGAGAAATTATCTTTCAGGTTGATATCAGCATAGAAATTGCTTTAATAGAGACGAAAGCCTTGACTCATTGCCTACACTAACGGTAATGGAACTCAAGATATATTGGAGGGAAGATATTTGAGAGGACGTCAAATTTAAACGGTTTGCCTGTAGTCCCTGTGCAAATTGTTTCCGAACCGCTTCAAAAACCTTCTGGACTTCCACTTCTTACCCCTTGACTTTCCTCGGACCTAGGACATGCTCTTCACATAGCAGATAGCTGGCAGACTTCATCAAGTATTCAACAACATTGACGCATACGAAATCGTAATCTCTATAGGTGTGTACGTATCGTGACGTTTTCGTAAAATCGAAGATTTTCATCATATAGATAGCCAGTAGGAGCTTATAAGTTGGTTGAGCATCACCAGATTCTCCAGATAGTCCACTAGCACTACGAAATTGGGAGGAAATTAACGACCAAAGACAATCTGTAGCTCATGCAAAGTCATACGCCTTCGTTCATGTTTTCCAAAATCTGGTAAATTCAACAGGTCTTTTTGCATTAGTGGCATATTCCTGACCAAGGTCTCAGAACGGCTCCTGTTGAACCACAGACCCATTAACCAATCTTCAAAACCATTTGCATAATACTAATGTAATAAAAATTGAGAAGGTTCAATTATTATCATGTACCGGCTAGCCTCTTGGTGATCTAACTCGAGATTCATGCAGAAGAACAGATCCACCCCATAACGATTTAATCTTGCGAGAGTCACACGCCATTCGAATTTCTCCTTTGGCCATTCGAAATGTCTGTACTTCAGTAGCTCAAACAACGCAAGGAATTTGGGGTTCATCTTCTCGTGCACGGCCATATTTACAACTGGTATACTTTACGAAATTAACACAGGGATCCACGCTTTCGTTTATGACGCGAAGCGTTTGGTCCATTATTCTTTTATTAGCGGTAAATATACTTTTACTGTGCTCCAATGCCTCGGTAGATATTCCAAGGAGGAGCACGTAGAGCATGTGGATTTGCCACTTCATCTCTAAAAGAAAACTGATTTATTTCAATAAGTGGCAGCTGTATTTATAGCAGTCTTTCCAGAAGAGAAGCTGATATAAAATGTTTAATCGGTTGGCTCATACAATGTCAATAAGCTGAGAAAATAATCTTTCTCATTTCAAGCAAAGCCCAATTTGTTATATTTGTATACCCGTTATTCGTAGAGTAAATGTTGGGAGTTGACACGCGACAAACGACCATAACACTAAAACCCGTCTATCGCCCACATTTTTTTAATATTTTGTAATCATTTAAATAAGATTTTGTTCTTATTATCAGTAAAAAGTTATAACCAAGCCGGTAGGGGCGTCATAGGATAGTTGGCGTTATATGATAGGTGGCGCTAGCCATAACCAAGCATCGGCATCCATCTTCCCTTAGCTGAGTACCGGGTATCTAATAGTCGAGGCCATCGACTATAGCGTTTTCTCTTGTTTATTATATTACAGACTGTACCCCCTGCGAAGGTAAAATTAACTTGAATAAATTATTGCTTGCCATTCGTCAATTCCATTTACCATAGTGAAAACAAAACACGTTAACGATTTAGGTAAATATACATTTATTTCATTTAATGATTTCTTGCTTTTCAACAATGTAAATATTCAGCTAACGATTTTTGCTCTCTGGTATTCATCCTGTTAACGTACTAAGTTTTTCGAATTGCATTTAGAGTTTGTCTTATTGTATTCTTTTTGAAGAGGACTACGAGTAGAGTAAATGGTTTAGTACAACTAATGGATTACAACAATCGATTATTACCACTTGTCATTGCATGGTCTCAATAAAAAAGTAAAAAATTCACTTGTTCACACAACAAACTAAGAAACAGAAGGTGAGAAACAATTCTGTCAATACTTGAATCAATGCAACTATCGTACAAGTCTAGGTCTATAGGTGTGTGTATAATAATCTTATAATCTTATAATTATATATCCTTCATGAGTGTAGAATCACAGCCTTTTCATCGAACTCGCAATGGAGTCCTGTTGTGTTTGAATTGTCAAGTATTTCTGTTAGGGTGATACATATATAAGTAGCTAGTTTAAATTATCGTACATTGTACCCACGTGAATTAGCATTGTATTTTCGGTTCTGTTTAACAATAGTCGGTTAGGTTGGGTTCGGTCCTAGAGCACTAGCTCTCTACTTATATACAAATAAATATGTAAACTATGACATGCGTGCAACTGTGCAATTGCTTTCCTTGCCTTAACATTTTAACTAAAACTCGGAACGATAACTCGGAAATCTAAGCGCGTCTGCAACAAATCATTCGCTAAACAAATCATTACAATTGATCACTAAGTACATTTAAGCTAAATGCTTTCGGAACCTACGGACCAAAGTGGGTCAACTAAACTAAAGCAATATTATTAATAATCGGTGTCGAAGGCCACATATTTAGAGTGAAAGCACATGTGTACAAATTTGTGGATTGCTAGTCGTGTTTTCTTATTCTAGTTGCTGCTGAGATAGCCGAGGAATTGCATTTTGGCGCTCCATCAGGTAATCGTTGTTATAATCTGATTCTTAGACCCATAATCGGTGATTCTGGAAAGTTAAATTTACTTATTTAGATAGGGAGCGGCAGTAGATAGCGAATTTTTAAAGCAATGTACAAATAAAAAGACACAAAATCATAAAAATATACAATTGAAAAATTGCATGCGCAAAAAGGTGTAATTAAATCGTGCAAAGAAAAATTGCAGCTTGCTGTCAGGTCAAGTATTTTGTGCCTTTTTACCTATAGATTGATGAGGCTGACGTGGAGCGCGACCAAGTAACTAACAAACCCTCACCTCTGCTGCGCTCACGTTTGCTTTGCAGGATAACTTTGGTGCTGTCGTCGGGACACAGCGAGATGCGCACGGTGGTCAGGAGCAGGCTGTAAAAATAGTTGATATTAATAAAAATCTGTTGAGCTGACTGCATATCCCATACTAACCGTGGCAGAACAGCCACCACTGTGGAGAGCAATATCACCAGCCAGTGGACTGCAGAGCCGAAGCACACAAAGATCACCCAGTACGAGGAGCGCACTCCGAAGCAGTTCAAGCACATCGAATCGTACACAATCGAAAAGAGGTAGAAGGAACCTAAGCTAACCACTATGGATAAGACATGCAGCACAGTCTGGAAGGAAATATAACAATTATATTATATATGGTTATATATATAATTTATAAATTAAACAGTAAAAACATCCACACATCATCATTCTCTAACGTAACTCAAGAACTCCAACATAACACAGAAACACCTCCTTGATCTCAACACCCCACGTAAACATGAAACACATCCTAGACGCATGCCCAGCAATTACACAGGACAAACAACATTTTCCTAAAAATCGCCAGCCACCGACTTCCTTAAGAATCCAACATCTGAAAATATCATAGCAATCATACATTTCCTAACAACAAAAAAATGTATACAATGAAATCTAAAATCAAAACTAATAAATATAGTTAAATTAATTAACCTACAAAAAATTCTACTATTCCTTTATGTTAGTCTTAGTTTTGTAAACTTTACTATCATCTTTAATAATAATAAAAATAATTAAATAACAGCTAACTAACTTACCCAGGAACGTATTTCAATGGCACAATGCACGAGATTGGCGAACAGGCAGGACGCCGTTATCGTCGTGCCGAACTCCCAGATCCCCACATCGTTCTCCGCATAGGCGCACAGCGCCACAAAGAATATGACCAGACTCTGATAGAGGGAATCCAGTAATATCAGCCAGAAGTCATGCGGTCTGTAAGCTACGCCCAGTCGACCCTGAAACGACAAATGTTAATGGTTAATCACATAGCCGGTTTAATGGATAATTTGAAACATTCAACAGGTCTCGTTTAGATTGACACAACTTGTTTGGCAACTCACATTTTTATAGAGATATGGATTTTTTAGTAGGAGATCTTCGGGCACACGCTTATCGTACACTCCAATGGCCAAGGGCGGCAGCGAGGTGAATATCAAATTGTACAGCATCAAGTACATCTGATCCATCATCACTTGACCGGAGAATCCGCAGTACAACTGGTACCAGAATATCAGAAAGACAAAGGCCTGGAAGAATGGGATGTTGTTATATTTATAAATATATTTATTATTAATGTTCGCCAAAGACTTACCGCATTCTTATAGAAGAAGTACAAGATCATGCGGGACAATCGATCGTAGCACCAATAGCCATGCGCCAGCAGCAGGCGTTCTAGGTAACGAAAGCGGGGCAGAGTGAAATCGGCGGCCATAACGGCCTGCATGCCCTCCTGACCTGAGATTCCAACGCCCACATCTGCCATCTGGATCATGGACACATCGTTGGCGCCATCCCCGATGGCCAGTGTGCGCAGGTTGAGCTCCTCTTTGACCACTTTGACTAGGTACGCCTTCTGCAGCGGCGTGGAACGGCAACAGAGTACCGAAGCGCACCGCTTGGACAACCGCAGAAACGGCATAATCAGCTTGGACCTGGTAGGTATAATGATGGTTATTAGAGAATGATAATAAATTCTCAAAATAAACTTACTTCGGATCTAGAATAAAGGTAAGAGTCTTTCCATCTACTACCAATGCGCGCTGTTTCTTTCTTAACGTCTGGCCATAGCCCAACGAGGATGTGGTCTTGTCGTTCTCCATGTCAGTCAGATAGAAATTTATGGCTGTTTCTGCTGCATCGCGGGATCGTGCTGTCAACCTTAAACAATAAAGAAGTCAAGTTAGAAATATAGCATTAAATGTTAAACAAGTTACTTGCCTGATGAGCTCCATTTGCTGGGTGAATAGTTTTGCTGAGTAGGCAATATTTATGGCCGTTTCGGGTTTGTCGCCGGTCAGAACCCAAACTGAGATCCCAGCGGAGAGTAGCGATGCTATCGTCTCCGGCACTCCATCCTGCAGGCGATCCTCGATTCCTGTTGCCCCCAACAGGGTCAGATTGCTTTCCAACTTCGCGAACGAGTCGCGCAATCTTCGCTCGCGGTTCTCCAGCGACATCTCGATTTCCTGATGACGTGCCCACCAATCCGTATAGTCGGCGGAGTTCAGGGTCCGCTTGGCCATCACCAAGATCCGCAAACCCTCGCGGGCATAGCGATCCAGCTGTTGCTGGGTCTGTTCTCGCAGGATGCCTAAAATCAATACCGAATTGAATTAATAGGAGTTTCTACTTTTCCCTGAGATTAGAATAAAGAAATCACCACTCACCCTCGGGACTGTTATGCGAGCAGGGTACCAATACGGGCATGATGGAACTATCCGCACCCTTGGTGTACAGCACAATCTCCTGGGTGCCTATCTGCCGCACCACAATGGACATGCACTTGCGACTGGAGTCGAAGGGCAGTACCTTGAGAATCTCGTACTCCCTTGTGGCTCCCGTTGTGGGCATGCTGACCAAGATTTGGTTGGCACTGCGATTCAGCAGGCAGCATTCATAGCTATAGGCAGCATTCACCAGGGCCAACTCATCGGGACTCTCAGCTTCGTAAAGCGGCCGCCCATCGGCGGTTCTGTAAATCGTCTCCGTTTTGGATGATCTAGAAATTAGAAAGGCAAACGGTTAAATTATATCTTTGGGAAAGTCAATAATAGGCACAGACTTACGGCAATTTCAACCGCTTTCCCTGTGTTTTGGCATTCAGGAAGGTTGCTATACTAGTGATCTTAGAGTTGATCACTGCCTTGGCCCTTCCTGTGGGCGAAATACTGTTGGAAAGCGCCTTGTTCTTCATCGGTGGTGATGGTGATTCAGACTCAGAGTTCGGTGACGATTCCGCCGAACTGCTGATGGGCGAAAGAGTGGGCTGATGACTCTGGGCGGGCAGCGCAAATAGAAGATTGGGCGGCGGAGAAGGTGTCACCGATCGTGATTCTGCCAGACGGATATAACGATCCGCTGGAATGGATATGGCCTGTTGCTGTGTCGCAGGTCCATTTATTATGGTTGTCCTTGTGGTCGTCGTTGTGGTGCCGGCCAATAGTTTCTGTCGTTGCTTGCCGTGTTTGAGGTTCGCCGGACTATTGCCTATTTGCTGCACCTCGATAATACCACTGGCATTCATCAAATCTCGATGGGGAGCGGCACCCACGATTACCGTGTTGCAAATGGCCAGCACCACCAGAAACTCTTGGATGCGTTGCGCATGTGGTGTGAGATAGACTCCTTGTGTGAGTTGTGCCATGTCATTATTTAAGTTATCATTCGGAATAAGCGGCGGAGCCGGAGCTCCTGGCTTCGAGTATATCTTTTCCAGCTCCGAGGGTGGATGGTTGTAATCCGATCCGTTTACAACGCAGCGTCGAAAGATCATCTTGTTCTCAGTGAGAGTACCTGTTTTGTCAGTAAATATATGCTGTATCTGCCCCAACTCCTCTGTTATGTTCATCGCTCGACATTCTGTCTGCTTATTGGTCTCCTGATCGTATAGATCGACATTGTTGTGGATGTGAAAGACCTGCAGGATCTTGCACAGCTCGATGGTCACGTAGAGGGAGAGAGGAATCATCACCTGCAGGATCACGATATATGTCCAGAAAATCCACATGCTCTCCATATTGGCAGTCAGTTTATTCGGCGGCAGATATGGCACCGGGAATTGGGTAAATGAGCTCAACCACATTCTGCAACCTACAGCGCCAACAACGCACAATATCAACAATATTATCACACACCTGAAAGTAATAAGACCAAGCATATAGATTTAATATGTGAATATCTATGAGAAGCTACACTATTCTTCCCTTCTTATTAATAATTTTATTGTTTCCCCAATCCCATCGATCAGCAAACTTACCATATCACATCAATATTCATTTGCTGTTCCACCTGGGATCGCTTGTACCTTGGACCACTATTATTTAGCATTGACTTGGTTTCATGTCCCGCATAGACCACGATACCCTCGATATAGTCCGTATTCTGAAACAAAGACCCAGTTTAGATTGAAGAAATCACATTAGAACAGGCCAAGGTTCACCCACCTTCAGTCTGCTCTCTCTCAGCAAAAGGCACTCGGTCGATATGGGCACACGCTCCCCAGTTGGATGTATTAAGGCCCCATGGAATCTATATAGCTTCGTTGTCGGCGCATCCGCCTCCACGCGACTCACAAACTTGCTGGGCACAAAAATGCTCTGCATCTCCTCAAAGCCACGTACAACCTGCGAAGAAATGCCAAATATCTGTAGTATCACGAAGCGTATCCGGGTTGGCTAATTGTTGGGAACTCACCTCGCGACGCTTCAGATTCGTTTCCCCGTCCAAATCGCAGGTGTCTATGTAGCAGACCCCTTGGGGGTCGCTTGTCCGCAACAGCAGAATGTCCGCCGGCACCGTCTCGTTGTTGGACAGATGGACAATGTCCCCCACACGCAGGTCCTGCCATTTCACCTTCTTGTACCGCTCCGTCTCTCTGAAACCCAAGAACAATAGTAGAAATTGTTATAGATTAACTGTCATGGATCAAAAAATTTACACTTAATCCTAGTCAAACTCGGGAAAAAAGGACAAAAGCTGCTGGCAACCAGACATCTTATTATATTTAATGACCTACATTAATAATAAATGATTGTATGTATAGAACAAAACATTTATAGAACGTTGATGGAACTACAAAATGTTCCCTGAACCTTCCCCCAAGGAAGTTTGAAAAAATGAATTTTGGGAAATCTCTGAAGAGAAAGAAATTGTTTAACAAATGCAATAATCTAATCCAGGATCGAATTTCCTTAGTAGCTATTATAATGCAACTTTTTTTTTAAACAAATATTGGAAAATGCCAAAGAATCAAGCCCTAAAATGTCAGCCTATGGTCACGAAATGTCGCTCAGACTGCCATACCTATACAGATATACATTCCATGGAATATTCATGAAATGCTCGTCATAACCGAAACTCAATTATTGTCAAATGAACACATTGATGGTCCGCACGCCACGCAAGACAATTTACATGCGAGTTAAGTTGGACTGTTTGGATTGGTTTAGTCTGGTTTGGCTGGGTTATTTGGTTAGTGGTTTAGGGCGGGCTAAGGTCAGGGATTGGGATAAGTGCTTTGTTAATGGTGGGGATGTTCCAAGTGGGGAGCTGTGGGTTGGCGGTCAGGGCTCGCATGTGGGTCGGTTATTAAAGTAACAAGTAAATTGCGAAATAATGTGCCACCACTTGGCCTCGACCTTGGCAAAAAGATGATGGCGATGAGGAGGAGGTGGAGGTGGTGAGTGGTGAGTGGGTGCTGGAGTTTCCCCTGCGTCACTGTGAAAGTGCTCCTCTGTTATTTTCATGGTTTTTTGTAAAATTTCGTGCGTCGCATGTCTGTTTGGTCTGGAATCATGTAATGGCGTCATCTTTGCCCTGCTTAGATATTTATGAAAGAGAGTTTGCCGAGGGAGTGGGAAGTGCAAGGACAGGGACAATTCCATTTCATTCAAGTTCACTTCGTCCGCCGTGAAATTGTTATAGTTGGAAAATGTATTTTTTAACAGTCGCGTGTTCGACCCTCGACCAAAGCAATCCTCCTGCCTCCTTTCGCCTGCCCTGAACTTTTCATTGTGTGGTCGGCACTGTCCTTGCAATGCCTGAATCCAGATTGTGGTTCTGAAATGTCCTGTCAGCCTGGCCGACACACAGAGTTACAGCGGAATAAAATAAGGGAAAACAGGTCGGGTCGCAGTTCGGTGAAAGCTGTTTGGCCATCGTTCTAATTGGGTCATTAGCAAGATAGCACACTCTAACGCAATTTGCCAGCGTCCCCTTTCAGCCCCTTTGTGACCATATAATTATATTTGTTATTGTCGTTGTCGTCGTCTTCTGTTGCCATTTCTAGCGACCAACTCTTGTCTGTATCCAGGTAAATGCAATTCTCTAATTGACAGGTGCTTGCAATGGGTTGTCGTTCCCATATCACGTTCAAGAGCATGCCACCGCGACCAGGTTCTTCAAATGTAATCGCAATTTATTAAGCTTTTCCTTCGATAAGATATTGATTTGTTCACTTTGAAGTGCCTTATTCCTGTATATGACGAAAGCGGGCAATAAACCTTTATTGTCTTTAAGGTCTTTATTAGATCACCCCAACCAGCATTTTTCTGATTTTATGGCATTCCCTTAGGTTTCTGAGAACAGTATTTTAAAGTTAATTGAATTAAGGTCGTATCTTAATCAATCATTTCTGATAAGGTCAACGTTTTTGTTTTAACTTTATGTTCTAGTATTCTTTTTATCGCAAATTTGTTATGAGTATCGAAGTACTCCGATAGGAAATAATCTTTGATTTAAAATATCAATATTTTTCAAACGTTCACATTGTTTTAAATAATTTATTGACACACTTATCTTTTTGGGGCTCACCTCATTTTGTAATTTGATAACAATAACACCAATTTAGGTCGCAACGATCCCCATTTTTCAACCGGAACCTGATCAATTGTTTATAATTAATTGATGTTCTTTTTATGCCCATGCTTATTTGTTTTGATTTTGCTTTCCCTCTCACTTTCCTTGCAACTCCAAGTTTGCCATATTTTTATGTGGTCACTTTCACTGGCGATATATATATCGTTTCTGTTTTTAGGTCAAGCGTTACTCACCCGCTGACCGAAGAGCCCACGTCATTAATCATATTCCTATGGATACGAAACAAAAACTTCAATAGCCGGATCGAGCGGAACAACAAGTGCAAGTTGTGGCGAGAAGGTGGCAGCTGTTGGTCTTGTAATTATCATCATTATGGGCGTCGACTTGCGGCGCGTGACCAACTGTTGGCCAAGTGTCAAGTCCATTAACAAGCCCCAAGTAGTGCACCCACCACGCCAGTCGCGGTATCTTGTATCCCTCGGGGAGGACATGCGGCCAGGAGGAAACGAAGGCGTTGGTTTCACTCAGACAACTTTTTTGTACCAGTCCCTGCTTTATTGCATGTCACCTAATTGGGCCCTCCCCACTTTAGACGCGGATTCATATTTACCCCGAGGGCGTCTCGAGCCGTTGAATCTTTAATGGCGTTTTGGCGAAACGCAATTACCGGGTCTGACTCGATTTATTAGGCGTTTTCGAGAAATGCAAAATTAATGCGAGTTTAACTCGACGATGAGCACGTTGATTGCTGAATTATTGTTTGCCCAATACACGAAAAGAAGACACTCTAAATAAAAGTGAAACTCACGCAACTTCGCAACCCAAATCCAAGTTGTGTTTTCGATTTCGATTTGCATTTGGAGGGAGAAAATGTGGGTCGAGTTGGTTACGCCCCCTAGCGGCAATTAATTCTTTCTCTCGCCTCTCTCCGCGCTTCTCACACGCCCCTGCTATAGGGTGCAATGCGAGTTGTTTCTCCCCTTCAGTGTGTCAATTAAAATGGTGATGGTATCGATCTAACTCAAAAACGAAATTACATAGGTCTCTTAGAAATCAAAATTTATGGCATGTTCATTTTAGCTGAGTCATATCTATCTACCCTTATAGTTTATTATTGATCTACCACCGTTTTTGTGTTTCATTTAATTAATGAAGTTTTAACAATGACTGTCGAGTATGCCAAAGACAGATATATGATTCGATTTCACTAAAGTCGGATTTCATAAGTTTTGAAAACATTACCTCGATCATTTACCTCAATCAATGAGTAACGATAATGTTAGTAATGATTAGACGCTTTGCTTTGTAAAAAATCTAATGCAAAGATACCGATAAGATAAGTGCAACAGCGATTTCAGGCATTTATGTTATTCCAAAGAATCAGTGCACATGGTGTGCCTCACCTTATGTAGGCCAATTGCGTCATGGGTTGCGATATTACGTAGTCAAGGAGATCTTCGTGGGCCCTGAGAAAATTGTGTTCAGTGTATTGAACCGTGCATTTCATTATTTAGTGGTCTCATCTGGCCGAACTGCCTTCCTCCTTGCCTTCGTGTACATGGAAATTTATGTGGCCAAAGTGGGTCATGCATGTTCGTTTGAGGTAGTTATGGACCTGGGAACAGTAGGGTAATTTTCCCAAAGTTCGCATAACTTGGCCGGCCAATAGAAGTGGGCAAATGCGCATGACTCCTCCGTCCGTCAGTGGAGTCAATAAAACGTTCTAGCATAAACAGGAAAAGGGGATGGGAACGGGGATTGGCGATGGAAATGGGAAGTCTGCTATCCGCTAATATGTAAGTTCATGTAGCGACAAGGTTGTTATTTAAAAGGCATTTTCCGAAGACCCAATGTAAACATGCGTGGGTCGGCGATTAGACAACTTACACTTGCCTAGACAACCATGGGAATGGGGAATGAAAAACACTGACTACCGACCTGAGCAGAGAAGCAAATTAGGCAAAAGCCAACGAAGCATTAGCCAGGTTGTGTAAACATAACCTGAAGGACTCTAACGGCAGGATCATCCCCCGCACAGTTTTGTCATAAATAATTCAGCATTTAATAAGTCCCTATCCCCCGGAAATCCCATCCCATCCTGATGAGCCCACATAGATAAAGTTGGCCCCACAACGGACCTTGTACTCTGTACTTCACTGAAAGGTAGCTGTGATGACGGTGAACTTGGGCCTCGCTAAATGAACACATATTTATTTTTTTCTGATATGCACAAAATTGCCTGTAGGTTCGTTTAATTGCTCGGATCGATATCTTATATTTGGATTGCTCTCAACTCGCTGGGGAAATGCCGGTAAATCATTAGGTTAATGTTTTTCCTTGACATATTGTAAAAGAGTTTCTTTGAAAGAACTCATTTAAAGAAAAAATTCTTATAGATAGAAAGACATTTTCGACGTTGAAAATGTTTTCGTTTTGATAGAGCCAAGTCGAATTGGCAGTATTTACATTGTATATCTCAACAAATAAACTATTAGTCCAGTCTTTTGTGTATACAAACCAAAAAGTTGTTAAATAAAATCTATTTATTTTTCCTGTTCTCACCATTTCGTTCTAATATTGAGGACATGTACTTACACGGTTTTTAAGAACGAATGTTCTCAATTCAAGAACATTGTACTTGAATATTTCTCTCTCTATAGAGAAAATTACATTTTAAATGTGGGCTTAATTAAATTAAGAACATTTCTAGACTTTGGGTGATATAAACGGCTCTCCTTTATAAAAACTTTAACCACAACTATCACCGCCCACATCGTAAAGTCAGACCACTTTGAAGGTCGTCCTTGCAATGTCCGTCATGCTGTGCTTGGGTTTTCCGAGCTTTATTGGTCTGAGCTAATGCACTCGAGGCGCACCCAAAAGGCGACGTGGCGAACCCATTTCCTCAGCTGAGAACGAACAAACAAAAGCCAAGCAAACAGAGCACGAAAGTGATTTTTTTAAAGTTAACCCATTCAAGCGATAGAATCATGTGAGGTTTTTCTTTGGGGTGGTGGGAGGTGGAAAAGTAACGCCCACCCACACTGGCACTCAAAG